CCCCCCCGGCCGTACCCACACAGGCTCCCTGGCGGAAGGACATGAGGGGGCAGAAGCAGCTCCTCAGGGGCTGCTCCCGGTGCCGCGTCGGGAAACTCCGGCGGAGCCGCAGCCCCGGAGCCCCTGAGCCCCCCTCGTCTTCCACCACCCTGGGGGGGCACAAAGAGAGGAAAGGGGGGGGTCATTCCTGCACCCTAAAAACCCCTGGGAGCCCCCCAAAACCCCCTGGGAGCCCCCCAAAACCCCCTGGGACACCCCCAAAACACCCTGGGACCCCCTGAGCCCCCCTCGTCTTCCACCATCCTGGGGGGGCACAAACAGGGCAAAGGGGGGTCAGTTCTGCACCCCCAAACCCCCTGGGGCCCCCCAAACCCCCCTCATCTTCCACCACCCTGGGGGGGGGCACAAAGAGAGAAAAGGGGGGGTCAGTCCTGCACCCCCAAACCCCCTGGGGCCCCCCAAGCCCCCCTCATCTTCCACCACCCTGGGGGGCACAAAGAAGGCAAAGGGGGGATCAGTCCTGCACCCCAAAACCCCCTGGGACCCCCCCAAACCCCTCTGAGTTCCCTCATCTTCCACCCCCCTGGGGAGCACAAAGAGGGCATGGGGGGGTCAGTCCCAGGACCCCCCAAAACTCCTCTCCCAGGGGGCCCAGTGAGGTTTTCCTCTCCCTTTTGGGGCTCCCTCCCTCCCCGGGGGTCCCAGTGGGTTCCCCCCATCCCGGGTGGTCCCAGTGGGTCCCCCCATCCCGGGTGGTCCCAGTGGGTTCCCCCCATCCCGGGTGGTCCTGGTGGTGTTTCCCCCATTCCAGTGGTCCCAGCAGTGTTTCCCTCCATCCCTGGGGGTCCCAGTGGGTTCCCCCCATCCTGGTGGTATTTCCTCCCTCCCGGGTGGTCCCAGTAATGTCTCCCCCCCCCTCCCCGGTGGTCGCGGCCCCCCCGGTACCGGAAGAGCAGGAGCCGGTCGGGGCAGGCGTTGACGAGCAGGGACGGGTCCGGTGCCTCCCGGCTCGCCCAGGCCCGGGCCGAGAGCGACGTGATGGAGCCGCCGGCCTGGACCAGCACCCGCGAGGCCTTGGTCAGCCGGCCTGGGGGGTGAGGGGGGGTCAGGGCAGGGAGAGACCCCCCCAGAGCCCCCCCGACCAGCACAGACCCCCCCAGGAACCTGCC